TTTTTACATTCTGTGTTTCGGTTGCATCAATGTATGTTTTGGATCAGGAAGGCTTTACACGTCCCAGTGGCGTCCTATGAATAATTTAAAAAATTAAAGTAGTAAAATGTCGGATTGGAGTCATATTTTTGTTACTTTAAATGTAGGTATTTCTCTAAATATTTTGTTTTATGTACTTTTTAAAACAGTATGATTATTTTATGCTGTCTTGGTAATAAGTAATCCCCTAAAGACCTAAGTAATCTGGACCATCAATGGTAAAAGGTGAACAGTCAGGTGACAAATATATGTAGCTGAAGCAAAAAGAGTCAGAACACCCCCGTCAAAAAGCACCACTCCTGAAAGCCCGACAATCCCAAAAGGTCCTGAAGTATTTTCGAAATCGAAGATGCATAACATCAACATTTTAATAATGAGATGGATCAAAGTACACTGCCCTCCAAGTTTGGTTTGGTTTGGTTTGGTAGGCAAAAGATCCCCTCCCTAGATATAGTAATGAGCGGAAGCCAGACAAGACACTCTTGGTCTTGGTCTTGCAGTTTAATAGTCGGTTTTGGTCTTGATTGTGCAGGGTGCAGTCTTGGTCTTGGTAATAAACACAACGGAAAATCTAGGGATATCATTTTATTAAAATTGGAAATAAATGTTTTGAATAAACAACCACATATTTCTAGGCCGATTCTTTCTACTAGGCCGATTCTTTTCTACACACTTGTTATTTCTAAATTTTGTATATTTGTTTTTGTGCATTTTGTGCATTTTGTGCAAATATATAAAAAGCATCTAGTATCAAATGTTCGAATTTACCCGGCCATGTTATGATAATTGGCCAGAATTCATTCAAATAACTTTTTTAGTATTAAACAACGTTATGGAGCGTAGACATCTTAACAAAGACGAAATTCTAAGGGCCGTGGGTATGCTCGAAGCTGGAATACGCTAAATCGACGTAGCTAGAGCATTAAATACAACGCAAAGTGTAATATCGGGATTAAATGCACGCTACCATGAAAGTGGTAATGTTGCTGAAACGCACACAGGGTGACATCGCATTACTACCCCTCAGCAAGATCATATTTTACAATAAAATGCTCGACGCTAACCGGCTCTTACAGCACCAGAGCTTAGTTTAATTCTCCAGGAAACACATAATGTAACCATTAGTCCTGACCTGTTCGCAATAGATTAAAAGAGGTCAACTTAAGAAGCAGACGCCTCTGCAGAGCTCAACCCTTAACGAGAGGAAATCGAGAGGTAGGTACGATATTTGTGGGCTCAAGATCATATTCAGTGGTCGAATGAACAATGGGCCAACATTCTCTTCACGGATGAGTCACGATTTTGAATTTATCCGGATTCGAGAAGGGTATTAAGAGAACCAGGAAATCATATTTGGTTAGATCATGTTCAGGAAGTGCACCCTTATCGAGGTGGAACAATTATGGTCTGGGGAGGAGTCCAGTTAGGCTGAAAAACTGATCTCGTTTTTCTTGAAAGGTTTCTAACAGGAATCACATACCGTGATTTCATTCTTGAGCCTGTCGTGTTACCATATGGCAATAATTTTGGGAGAAACTTCATTCTCATGTATGACCATGCACGGCCTCATACAGCCAGAGTGGTAAGTGAGTTTATCAATGCTCATCAATTAAACATCTTACCCTGGCCGGCACAATCTCCTGACCTCAACCCCATCCAGCACGTATGAGACGCGGTCCAAAGAAGAACTATGAGAATGGGTATGCCTCGTGAAACTCGTAGGGATCTGGTTCGGGTCGTGAATGCAGCGGGGCAGGCTGTACCTCAAGAAGAGATCGACAACCTGAACAGGAGCATGGAGAGACGATGTAGGGCAGTAATGAACAGAAGGGGGGGCCATACCCTTTATAAAGTAAAAATGGTTTTATCTTTTTTTTTAATTCAGTTTAGAATAAAAAAATTATTGTGTATTATTGTGAGTTCCAAAAGTAAATTTTTATTTCCAAAACATCCTCTAAACCATTTGTTTATTTTAATTTTATTATATCAGAAATGCAAAAAATAAAATTACTGACGATGGATGGATAAAATTGTAATATACCTAGACTTTTCCGGTGTTTTTATATTTAAAATATTTAATTTGCTGGTAGTGATTTTCTATATTGTTTCTAGTCAGCAAAAGCAAAGAGATAAAAACAGATAGTTTCTTCTGTGTCAATTCAAACGATTTAAGTTACAGACAAATTATGAAGCTTTTTTTAATAACAAAGAAAAAAGACCACAGTAGTTCTTGCGATACAATTCTTCTGAATGAGACTGTATATTCTAAATGGGTAAATTTTTGATACATTAAAAGCTTGATTTTAAAGTACCTGTTTTTAAATATCTGAAAAAAAAATGATTTTGGGATAGAAAACACGAAAACATTCAACTGGAAAGTATGGATACGTTTAGCCACTAAAACAGAAAACATGCTAATAAAAAACTTGTAAAAATAAAGAATGTAATTTTAAAATCGTTGAAAAGTGTCAGTCCATGTACAGACAGATTAAATCATACATCAGCTATATCTGATCAATATTTTTTTAGATTTTTTTAAAGCGTGGGTCTATTTGAAATGGACTAGTAAGGTTATTAGGCAAATTTAGCAGAAATATGAACAAACAAGTGCTTAATGCCCGGTGAAAATCGCAAATTTCCGATGTACATTTTCAACCGATATTTGGCGGTGCAATTATTGAATATACCAGCAAAAAAGAGTACATTTTTCTTTTTTCTGTCCATTTTGTTACAGTAGGATTCGAATTTTAGTAGTTTAAGATAATATACAGGATGGTCCGAACTATATTCTGGAAATTTCGGCAGCATATTGTACAGACAAAAATAAATAAAAAAAGTTTGTCTCAATGTATGATCTACAATGCGTAGTTTCAGAGATACAGAGTGTAAACAATTCATTTTTATTTCGATTTTTTCCAAATAATTTCTGAAGTAACATCAATATCTATATGAAAATTGGTGACTGGGAGTTTTTTGACACGAGAAATTTGATTTTGATTTCAATATGACTCCTACTTGTAGAGGACGCCACCTAAATATGTTTAACTGGTTTGACTGAGCAAAAAATATACATTTACAACGTTTTTCACGTAAAAAGGATATCTTGGTAAAAATCGCTACGAGTAATGGTTCCTGAGATATTTGGAAACGAAATTATCGGTGTTAATTATTATTAACACCTCCTGTCAATAAATTAAACATGTTGACTAAATGCGTATTAGACTGAAATCATAAATTTGAAATGTTTCTTTGCCAAAAGTTCAACATAAACTGTTTTTTCATCATTATTTCAAAGAAAAATGTATGATTAATTTAAAAAAGAAAAAGTTCCCAAATTTATCATTTCAATCAAATAATTATCTATTCAACGTGTTTATTTTTTGTCAATAATGGCATTTTATTGAGTATTTCCATTCTAAATATCTTGAGAACGGTTGCTCGTAGCGAGTTTTACGAAGAGACATTTTTTACGTAAAAGTCACGAAAAGTTATTACACCTCAAAACAGTTAAAACACATGTAGGTGGCGCCCCCTACAAATATATAGTCATATATCAAGAATATATAGAATAAGGATATTCGACTGGCCCAAAAAAAACGTGCCGTATTTTGTCGAGGAAGTCGATTTCGTCACGACCAATGGGCGTCGAGTATTTGAAATTGAAAACATATAAATTGACGGTAACCTATGTTTTTTGACTCATTTCACTGACAAATGTGATGAGATTGTTATTGTAATTTATAGATCCAAACGTTTTTTGAATAAATAATTTATTTTAAAGTTATTTCCTAGAGGTTTGGTTTGGCCTTCTATATTCTGGTATTTGTCTACTAATAAATAATATCTTATTTTGTATTTCGATGTATGGAAATCCGCAAGTTTTGTATCTGAAGCCGCAAAGAAATTTCGCTCTATAGTGAGAAAAATGTTATATCTTTTTAGACGCGTAGAATAACAAAATTTCATATTTCAGATGTTCTAAATGTGAGTGCTTAATGTCAAAAATTAAAATATATACTTGAAATATTGGTTGAAATATTTCAAGTTATACCCTTTGCCCTTTGGAAGTAAACAAATATTGAAGAAAGTGTTGTGCCTTCACAGAATTTAAATTGACATTAGGAATAGATTTCCTTGATTTAGTAATGATATTGCTCATAGAAATTGATAATATAATATATATATTTTATATATTATATATATATATATATATATATATATATATATATATATATATATATATATATATATATATATATATATATATATATATATATATATATATATATATATATATATATATATATATATATCAGTAGTCTAGATACTTACTTTCTTTCTATGCGTACTTATATTCTTTATAGTCTTTCTAAGTGCATATAATACTACTTTTTTAAGAGAAGGCAGTTTTTAATAATCCATTGTTAATTCCCCTAATTCTGTGTCCCCTGGTTCTGCTATACAACAATTATATATTTTTTTATCATTACTGATTTTAAAAGTTTCTTTTCAAAGAATTTGACTATATATTTTTTTTTCAGAGTAATTGGGCTGTTCCTGAACAATATTGAATATAAATATTCAAAAATATGATAAACTGCATATCCTACTAAGTAGATCAATACCAAAATTCCATTAGAGAAATAAGTTAAAATTATGTTTTACTTGTATAATTTTCTTGCTATTTGTCCACCATTATTTGTGACTTAGAAATTAAATAGTCAAAAAGAATTTAGTACCAGTTTTTATTTCCCAAAAAAAATAATTGTTAAATAATTACATATTGCTTAAGATACAGTATATTATATTGTGTTTATAGTTGATAATTCTAGTTCTTAGTTGTTTATAGTTGATAATTAACAATATTTCTGATGTTAGATATTATATTAGATAAAAAATTTAATTACCAATAGCTACCTACCTATGTAGCTGCAGATTATATATTGTGTAGTACCTAGGTACTGTATAATTCTTTAGTTCAAGAAACAAATATCAGTACAAGTATATAACCAAAAAAATGTTGATGCAAATTCTTTGTATAACATACATACCCCTATGGTATTCAACTTTTCATTGTTCTTTTAATTAGATACACAATAAGCACATTAATTTGTTTATTAAACAACCAAAACTAACTACTTAAATTCACAATATAAATATCACAATAAATGTATAAGCTTTGATCAATTCTTATTATTAATACCTGACGACTTCATACTTTATAACTACCAATGGCTATCCTACTAACACACTAGCCAACTAATAATAAATCTGTTCTAAAAAAATACAACATAAAGACATAGTTATTGCAATAATATAGAAATATATTCCATGTATCATTAACTACCTATAAATACAATACCCACATCTTCTTTTACGCGAATAGTGCGTTAGGAGGCAGAAATATTGCCTGCATTGTACATCGTACAAATTGGCTAGAATTTATTAATATCCATTGCAAACATTTCTCTTTCAAAGGGTCTAAATGTTTTGTCTTTTTACTGTGTCCCTGTAATATGTTATCAATTAACAACAGTTATCAAATATGACCTGGACAATAATAATTGTTTTACCTTTTTTTCAAACTAAACTCTTTAAACAAACTATATAAATAAAATTTATCTCATAACCTAACTTGCTGCTAGAATTTCTTTCTTGTTATTCTATGTTCCTGTATTGTTATTCTTCACATTATCAATTTCTATGAGCAATATCATTACTAAATCAAGGAAATCTATTCCTAATGCCAATTTAAATTCTGTGAAGGCACAACACTTTCTTCAATATTTGTTTACTTCCAAAAAATGTCAAAGCATATAACTTGAAATAATATTTCAAGTATATATTTAAATTTTTGACATGCACTCACATTTAGAACATCTGAAATAAGAAATTTTGTGGTATTACCAATTTTGTAATTCTACACGTCTAAAAAGATATAACATTTTTCTCACTATAGAGCGAAATTTCTTTGCGGCTTCAGATACAAAACTTGCGGATTTCCATACATCGAAATACAAAATAAGATATTATTTATTAGTAGACAAATACCAGAATATAATATATAGCCAAACCAAACTCTAGGAAATAACTTTAAAATACATTATTTTTTCAAAAAACGTTTGGATCTATAAATTACAATAATAAACTCATCACATCTGTCAGTGAAATGAGTCAAAAAACATAGGTTACCGTCAATTTATATGTTTTCAATTTCAAATACTCGACGCTCATTGGTCGTGACGAAATCGTCTTCCTCGACAAAATACGGCATATTTTCCAACATAGCCCGCTATAGGGAGATGAATATCCTTCTTCTATATATCCTTGTCATATATATTCATATTGACAATAATATTGACATAAATCAAATTTTTCATGTCAAAAAACTCCAAGATACCAATTTTCATCCAAATTTTGACGTTACCTACTTACCTAAATTATTTGGAAAAAATCGAAATTACGAAAAAAAATTACGAAAATCGATTAATCGAAAAATGTAACTTCTATACCGTGTAATCTCCGAAACTAAGCATTTTAGGACACACATTTATACAAACTTTTTTAGATATTTTTATCTGCAGAATATGCTGCCGCAGTTTCCGGAATACAGTACGGACCACCCTGTATATAAAATATAATCTGTAGTTTCTATATTCATTCATAGGGTAATTTATTCCCTTTCGATACCCGTACGATCTACCATAAAACAATTCTGCAAAACGTTTTAACACCTTGAGTGGTCCATTTTAATCCCCATTTAGATGAGGAAGCTGTTAACCACAACCATCCATAAAATCATACGTACAATTTATAGATTAGTGGTCTTATTCACAAGATATGAATTTAAATTAAATTTCATTTATTATAATTTACGATCATGTATTTTAGATTCTGATGATGCCTAAAATAAAAATTGGTGAAACGTTAAATTTCAAATTTCAAACCAACAATATCTAGAATAAAAATCCCAATAATACAAAAAATAGATTTAAACAAATTTAAATAAATATCATTTGGATTATTATTAGGAGTGAGATCGTGAGATGAAATTAAGTAGCAAAGACAACTTGCAGGATCAAACTCTCATTCTCTGTGAACATAAAAAGTGTTAAATTTGTCTTTCATGGATTTTTGATGATCGACAGAGATCCCAGCTAGCTTGGTTATAAGCCGTTATTTGAATTTCTCTTTAAGTTTTAACTTCAATTTAAATTCAGTTGTCAACTGTCATAGAGAAGAAGAGATGTGCTCTGGCGAAGAACCTTTTTTATGGTTTCAACTGAAACCATAAAATTGGCCTAAGATCAGATGACTATCGAATTCGGGTTCTCAGAGTTCCAGGAAGACCAGCGAGACCAGGGAGCCAAATCTGTACCAATATATAAAGGAAGAATTGTAATGTTCTGCAGGGGGAGGTTTTATCTGGGAGCAAAGATTCCATTGTTACCACTTCAACAAACTTTAACGGAAGTATGTTGATTTAGTGCTAGAACCAACCGTCAGTCTTTGGAGAGCTGCAACTGAGGATAATTTAAACTTCATGCACGATAGGGCAACCTACTCAGACCAGCAGTGACTATAGAATATCTTAAAATGGAAGGTGTCATAGTTTTGGACTGGCCTGCATGTTTATCAGATGCAAACCCTATCGAACACTTGTGGTGATACACAGTGTTCCACAACCAGCTCAAAAAAGGGTTAGAGCTCGTCGAAACAATTCAGGAAATCTCGAACAGCTTATTGACACAGTATTAATAGAATCGGGAAACATACTCCAAAACAACGTTGATAATTTAATAAGAAGAATGCCAGCGCGGATAGAAGCTTGCATAAGGGCTAGAGGTCGCAACAAGGATTATAAAAATTATCAATTAATTTTCTTTTTGTTTTTGCTTTTTGGCCGTTAAAAATGTAATCAAATCTTATTTTTTTTTAATAATTTCACAAACCAAAAAAATACCATTTTCTTTATTTTGGGAACTGATTAATTTTTTTTATTGCTAAAAATTGGATTATTTTTCATTAAAAGTCATTGGTCAGGACTGAGTTTTATTCATAAACACAAAATTTTCATACGTCTCAAAAATGATGAAAAATAATAGATTTCACATATAAGTTTGGTTGTGTGTATATTAAGAAATACATCTAAATCTTTATTCAGAGATCATTAAACGAGGACGATTTTTAGGATCAAACGCTTAGTCTCTATGACCACAAACAGTGTTAGCGTCGTAAAAGCGATAAAGACGGAATCAGGAAGCGACACACTAGGAAGTGCGACGACACACGACGCAAGCCGTCCATCCGGCGTCGCCATGAGCGGGGCGCGCGACATTATTTATTCCTTTTTCATGGATTTTTGAGAGGGAGCGCGCGAGCGATCGACGCGGGCCCCAGCCTCTTCTCGCCTCCTTGGCGCAGCTCTCCTCGGGAGGGCGTCGCGGGGCGGGAGGGGCGGGCGACGGCCGCGGCGGCGTCGACCCGCGCCGTATTCCTCGCCGATCTTCCTCAGCGTTCTGATCGCGGAAAGGAACTGACTGGCAGAGCTCTGTGAGACCGACGTGCGCGACACGCCGACTACACGTAATTTCGCCGCTGCTCCTGTCGACGTCGACGTTATCAGAGTGACCACCACGACCGGCCGCGCGTTATTGCGCCCTCACGCCGCGACCCTTGTGCGTTCTCCCGTACCATCCTCTTCTAAACGCTTGTGTCTGTCTCTCTCACGCACGTTACAACTTTTTCATCCTCTGGATTATCTCAAACCATCACTTTGGAGTCCAGGACGTGCCACACACCCACAACGCTGGAACATTTAAAGCCGGTTGTGGCTTCGATCACGACTCTCATCGGGAACTGTGATAGTATGGAGGCCACTTACTGCGTCGGAAGTGACGTCGATGTTTGCCGGATGTTTGACCAGTACTTATACAAGGTACGACCATTTCCCATCCAGCCACCTTTACTACAACACCTACATCATCAAAATTCATTCTGGACACCGAAACAATTAAGCCAAGACACTATTTCCCATGTTGCCACCAAAATCTGGTTTTAAGACCACAACAATTTTATATAACCTAATTCTAAATAAAAATTACAAATCAAACTTTCTATTTGAATCTCATTTCACATTAATAAACCCATTGTTGAGAAGTTAAAACATCATCAACATACATTCTGTGGACCAATAAAAATATCTAATTCAACTTTAAGGTTATTTAATTCAAACTGTCAACTTCTTCTCCATTCCAACACCGTAATTGTGTCATACAAGTTTAGAATAGTTTCAAATTGTTTTATAACATAATTCCTAAATATAAATTGGAAACCCACTACAGAAATTGGAAAGTAATCAGTTTAATTGAACCAATTTAAAGAAAAGGAAACTAAAAGAAGAAATTAAAAATTCAATGAAGAACTGCAATCGAAATTAAATCATTATACCTAAGTTTACTCCTAATTGAACTGGCATTAAATCTGTAAGGGGAGATATAGTTCTACACTTTAATATTAAATTAGATAATTTTTTTAGTATGTATAGCAAACTTCATAAATATTTAAAAGTATTTCAAATAAAACTATCAAAATGCATTCAGAAAAAAAACAATATTACATTATATCCGCTTTCCAAAAATAAATTTTCGATCAAAGTAATTATTTGATAAACAAACGATATAATAAAAATGATGCATTAGGTCATTTCCTTGAACAGAAATTAACATCACTAAAATATGACATAAGAAACTTTAATTAAGCATTCTTCAAAAACGACTGGCCTAATTGAACCAATAATATTACTTTGTAACTTATGCAATATTGTTTTAAGAGGATCGTCTTATATTTACATTAACTGTAATAAATTACTTTCTTATTGGATTTTCCTCCTTGAAACTTGGTCATTAATTCGAAAATAAATTGTAATCCGGACCGTCTATCCATGGTGAAACATGAGGAAATATGACGTCGCGTCGGTCGAAAGAAAGTCTGACAGCTGCCGAGTCCGGATCTGTGCAGACGGCTTGTAACTCCATCTTGGAAACTATATCATAACGAAAGCCCGGCTTACAATATGGCTGAAAATGAATACGTGTAGCATGTTGTAGTTAAAGGTGGTACGTATTTTATATTAAATAAAAAAGTTAATTAATTTAACACTTCATTAGATTTTGTTTGTTTTCTATTTATTTTTTCCTTTTATCTAGTTAAAAATTTATCATATTTTTAAAAGGTTGTTATCTAATTCAATTTATACTTTATGAAATAGAAATTTAGGAAGTTATTTTACTATTATGTTTTTTTTTTTCATTTAATGATTCTTTTATTTCTATTGAATGCAAAGCCTATTCAGTACCACCCTGCCAATATATTATGATCTTTTACATTGAAATTTTCATCTTACGGTAAAAGATTGGTGCTCTCCAAAACGAGTGAAAATGGATAGCTGGATACTCAATAAGCTATGATTAGATATGTTAGTACAATATCTTAACTCTCAATAGTCAATACTACTTGTATGAAGAATTATTTTAAATATAACCTGTCCAACGAAAATGTTCATGACAGTAACATTTGTTATTTGTCGTTTTAACACCGTACGAGTTTTATGTACGGTGGTTTTAATTCAAAAGTAGACTATATTTTCAGTCATTTTTTGTATGTCCTCTGTCGAAATTACAATATTTTATGTAAAGAACTATGTTACGATTGAAAATAAATTGACCTTAAGTGAAATTTAATATGTTTTGATTCACAAATTGAATCTTTTGCCGCAAAAAATATTTTGAATCCTTGAAGAATTATCGAAATTCAACATTTACTCTGTAAGTTTAATGTATGGTTCCATGGTATGATGTTCTATAACGTAAATGTTCTGTATATCATTACTGTTCAGTTCATTTTCAAAGTTTAAATAGACTAATGCTTGTTCCAATAAACTTGTTCCAATTTTAAATTAAATAGATTTAATACCATAGTTATTAATAAAAATCTATCTTAGAAAATGTAAGATGACTTTCGGAGATTTCGGAGGCAATTTTGGCCCATTCCTCTGGAAAACCATTAACTTAAGATCATAGACTTCTGACGTATGTAAACAGTTTTGATATATTGGCTATTAATAATTTGTTTGGCCGAGGTTCAAATTTAATTTTATAGATACGTTTGAAATTAGAGTTGTGTATACTGTGTTAAGGTTATTTATGTAATTTATTGGTTTTTCCAGTGCCGGTGAAGTTGATTTAGATACATTTTATAATTACTTCTATTTCTTTAATGGAGCTTAACTGGTCATTAGAAGTTTCAAATACAAAAAATACTACTTTGATAATATATTTTTTACAGTTAAATACATAATGAAAAATTAACTTATCATCAAGTGTGCTTTTTATGGTCGGATAAACAATTTTACGAGAAAACTTAAATTAGAACTTTTAATTGTCAAGGTCAATGTCCCTTTGATCATAATTTTTTTGACCTTGTCTAGCTGTATAAATACTACACTATAGACATAATATACAGGGTGTGTCTTAAATAAGTACAAATATTTTCAGAGCTGGTAGATCTCGACAAAAGAAACATATTTTTTCTTTACCGTTTTTCAAATAAGTCCAAAAAACAGATATTTTACTTTGAAAATGAAAAAAAAAATGATTTTTTGCTTAAATTTTGAAAACCGTTGGATCTTTTCCGGGTTTTCTTTCTTGCAAAATTGATCTATTACTTATGTTGCCATATTATGAAGTTATTATCTTTTTAACTAAGAATTAAAAAAAGCTCAAAAATTTTTTCCAAAAAATTCTAAATTTTCAAAAACAACGTCCGCGAAAAAAACCTCATAGTTTCTGGGGTCGAAATATACTACCCCTAAAAATATTTGCACTTATTTAAGACTCGCCCTCTATAGGGTTCAGTTATACAGGGTGTCCCAGAAATATGTGCAAATATTTTAAGGGGTGGTAGATCTCGATAAAAGAAACATATTTTCTCCCTATCGTTTTTCACATAAGTCCAAAATAACGGAGTTATTTTACTTTGAAAATTTCCAAAAGAAAATATTTTTTGCAAATAATTATATTATTCAATATTTCGTCTTATTGCTGCCAAAAGTCACTAACTAACATTTTTCTGAACAACCAAATTCAATCACTAACTATGTTTTGAAGCGGAGAATCGATTGCAAATGTCATTAACTATGATTTCTGGCTATTTATGTTTTATTTTAATACGGAATAGTTACTAACTATAACATCTTTATGCAGTGCAATTCATTTTTAGACGCATTTTTCTCGGAAGTAATAAAAAGTAAGTTTGTGACTTTTGGCAGCAATGGGACGATTTCTTCTATTATATTATTCATTTTCTTTCTCTTCTCTTTTGATTTGTTAAAATAAAATTTATATTGATCTAAGTAATCGATAAAATTATAGGTCGACGAAAATAACTATAACTTCTATTATAATTTTCCAAATTTACTATGACCTTGATAGACTGTTATTTTTAGAATGTTAAGTAAAACATACTACCACGCGTTCAAAGCACTGATGTTAATATTAAACTAACAAAGTCTAGTAAATTATTTTTCTAATTTAAAAAAAAGTGTTATTAAAACGGTGAGATTAAAGAGACAAACTGTGGGTAGTATATCTATAAAATTATGATAATGTCGCGAGATTATATTATGATCTCCACAAACATTTAAAAAATCTACCTTTCAATGAAAATATGAGACATTAACGTATCATTTTCATATATCTTGCTACTGTTTACATATTAAATTAAATATTAAACGATATAAATAAAAATCCATGGATAAATTTACACCTTGTGATGCATCAGCGTTGGAAACGTAGAAAATGCCATGCAAATTTTGAACTGTTGAAATTGGCTCCCCTACTGATTTTATCGAAGTCGTTAAGGAGTTTTTAAAGGTCTGAGTATGCTGAATACACTCGCCAAATTTGAACAATTTTGGACAAGCCGATTTTAACTAATTTAAGAAAAACTGCATCTATTTTCAAATTAAAACTGAACAGGTAACAATGCAAAACCAGACAAATGTCATCATACCTTATGTTGCCAGCCTATAATTTTATCATTGTCAAATGTAATTTGCTGGGCTGTCGTATACAATACTACGTTATAGTACCTACGGTTAGTACTCCCGAAATATATTTTGTAATTTAAAACTTATCTGAATTGTGCACAAACCTCAAAAGTCATAGGTTGACAACTTAAGGTATGTTGGCATTTGCCTGGTTTTGCATTGTTACTTGTTCAGTTTTGATTTACAAATAGAAGTTTTTCTTAAATTTGTTAAAATCGGTTTGTCAGTTGTTTGCAAAATGGTTCAAATTTGGCACGTGCGTTCAGCATTGTACTGTATTGTAACCTATATGCCCATCTCGCCTCTCTTTCTAAAAGAATTTAAAGAGGAGGTAAGTCGAGTAGGGTTTCCATAGCTTTTGACGGCGTGGAATGGAAGGCACCAGTCACCGCTAAGCATGCTTGTCGTTGTAGTTTCGACAATTTATTCTTTGCCGTTGTTTGGTTGGTTTTCTGCCACAAGGCAACTGCACCATACGTGATAATAGGTCTGATGGCTGGCACGTATAGCCAGTACATATTTTTGGGGTTTAATCCCCAGTTTCTACCACAAATTCGGCGGCATGCCCATAGAGCATAGCAAGCCCTTTTTGATGTTTTTTTTCCAGATGAGAGGTCCAGCTAAGTTTTTTGTCCACGTTTAATCCTAGATACTTAACCTCCTGCGCAAACGGAATTGTCGCACCAAGAGGAATGGGCGGTTTCAGTTTGTCTGTTTTCCTTCTTCTGGTGAATGGTATGATCACGGTTTTCTGTGGGTTTACACTTAATTGTTCCAGTGCGTTCAGCATACGCAGACTTTTAAAATACCCATTAACGACTTCGCTGTAA